AGCTCTAAGAAAATGGAGCAACTGGAGACAGCTGGCTGCAATTTTTCATATCCTTAGGAAAGTATGACTTTGTGTTAGGCAGCTGCCCCAAACACTTAAGAGGGAGCAGTTACCAACAGTAATGAGTGATGGATTGGTATCAGAAAGCAGATGTGGTAGACTACAGAGTCTGTTAAAGATGTGCTCCCTGTCAGTGAGATCTCACCGAAGGGCTCTTAGTAGCTGTCTAGGCCTGCAAGATCTCTGAATCTCAATGAGATACCATGTGTAAAAGGAAAGAGGGTTGGTGTTGGAATTACCAGCATCAGAACAATTAAACCAAAGCTACTGGAGCCGAAAGTTTTTTGTGCTTTCTCCATACTTTTGCTTTCCTCTGACCCAAAAGTCTGCCTTTGCGAGTGACTTGTTAAAGAGGTGGGCTGCAGCAGAAAGAACAGGGATCAAGAGTGAGTAAGAAAAAGTATTTGGACAGAGCGAAACAGAAGAAGGAAGTAGAGATACTGTGGTAAAGAGGTGGAGGTGCTGCAAGAGGCTTGTACCTTTGATCCTGTGAGAGAATACATGACTGACACCACAAAGAAAGGTGTTTAATCATCTCTCAGTAAAAAAAAAGAGTGGGATCAGAATAAGAACAACTCTAAGGTACAATACCAGAAATACAAGAGCCAAGAAGAGTAAGTTCAAACTGAGGGACTCTGGATAAAACAAACACCAAACCTGGGACCTCTGGCAAAACTTCCTGTTATGAGAATGGGACAACATCCTCTGACTCTTGATCCTAAGAACTGTGCCTAGTGAGGAAATTCAGATGGGGAAGGAATTGTCTGAGCATGCCTGGGAACTGGGATGTCTGTTTAGTGATTTCAGAATCAAATTCCCTCCACATCAGAAGAAAGTTTTGTGATTACAAGCTCTTCCACAGGCAGAACTAAAAAAAAAAAAAAAAGAAAGAAAAAAAAAAGAAAAAAAATAATTTACAAGTACTAAAATATTTAGTGATGTTAGATCACTCGGTAATACAAAACACCATTAAAGTTACCAAGCTGTATGTGTATAGTTAGTACTGATTAAATGGGGAAACAGAAGCAAACAGAAAGCTAGATGCTAACTGAAACATTCATATTTTGTTAAAGTAGTTACTGATGGATATTATTCAAACCTTTCTTATAAATAACATGTTCAATACTAGCATGTTTCTGAAAAATGCTCTGGTGTTGACCACATTGCTTTTTCAATTAGAAATTCCACTGACAGTTTTTCAAGTTGCCATAGTAATAAAGCCATTTACCATAGTTTAGCCAGCGGCTTCTCTACAGTTTAGAGAAAGCTTGCTTTGCTTAGTTTAATAAATGACCACTTTGGCCACCACTGAGTTCAGATTTCAGATCATCAGTGCAGGAAATGGAAGGCCTGAAGTGTTCAGCCAAAGAAGAGACCCACAGACAAGACAGCATCTGACCAGGACTCCCTGAATTACTGTTTATTGCCTCTGTGCACAGAGTATTGCCTGGGATTGCACACAGAGCTTGCTGTTTGAGCAACATAATTTAGGAAAATTTTGCAGGCCCTTTAAGTCCTCGTCATCTTACTGAATTAGAGACACAGAGTTGTAAGGATTTTCGTGGCCATTTCAGTCTATGGAATTTCTTTGGAAGTTACCAAAAAGAAAGCCAATTTGTATTAGTGGCTGGGTTATTACTGAGCTTTCAGCTGGAGATGGCCAAACATACTTGATTTTATAGTCTGTACAATTCCTCTTTTCTCATCATCTGTCAGGAATAGCTTTAGTGGCAAGAAGGGAAAGCAGAATCAGCCCCCAAGGCGTAGAAAAGTTGGGATTGGGATTGTCCACGATAGTACATTTCGTTGCCTGCTGACCTAGTTGTAGCTTGGGATAAGACTTACATTGCTGGTCAAGACACAAAAAGTAAGAAGCATTAAAAAAAAAAAAAGTATCTAGTAACTAAAATGATTCCTTCTCTCGTTGCTCTTATGTTCCACATCTCCCTTGATTTAGACCAATGTGAGATAAGGCTCACATATTCTGTCTCTTGCTTTGTGGATTTCCCTGAATATACAAGTGAACTTTTCTTTCGTGTTTGGAGAAGAAAGTCTTGGGAGTTAATACTGAACTGAATAAAGCATGTTTTCTCCTCCATTTATTCTGGAGCTTGGATCAGAAAGGACCCAGCGTTTCCTTCGTCACCAAAAGCACTTGATGCAGATGTGAAGCCTTGTAAAACATTAAATGATCTGGCAACAACTCCTAGGGTTTGGATGTGGGACAGGGTGAGTGGGTGGGTGGGAGGGGAAGTTATACTTCAGATACATTTGCTTGGTTTCCAAAATAAGAGTGCCATGCTGAAATCATCTGCTGGGTATTCATCTGTGTCTGTATGGACGTTAAGGAGATGAAAATAAATTGATTCAAAGTAGGTGCTTTTTTATGGTTACGATGCCTGTACAATCCATAGGAGATGACTTTGACTACATGTATGCATTGCTAGGCGATTTGGCGTGATAACAGAGGTTGTAGCTTCAAGTGATCACGGCTTTGGGGGTCAAGTAGCTGAACAGTTAAGAGTATGATTTCACTTGATGTGGAGCCTGCTGGCTGTTAAGAGACTTGCAGCTCTAAAGGCAGGTGGTGCTACGAATACACTTGCTGTCACACCTTAGGCTTCTTTCTGAACCCCTCAGTTTCTCAGCCTGTCAGCCTAAGTTAAAACTAGTCTGTGCCTTGTGTTTGTGGAGATCTTAGTGTGGGTCTTGGCAGCCTCCAGGGACTAGGGATGCTTGGGGAAATATCAAAAGAAGAACAGCTGGAACAGATGGCTCCTGTTTCACTGTAAGAGCCCCCCTGTGGAAAGCTTATTCCTCTATGCTCATTCCCCAGAAGGACAATCTGTTGAATACCCATGCAATTTTTTATTGAGCATCTTCCAGCGAAAGGGGACGTATTGGTGATAATGCTTGGTGAGGGAAGCAACTGTCACTATTCATTTAATGATCTCTTAAAGTCACATTACCTGCTTTGGTGCCATTCACAGTGTGTTTGGGATGTCTGTTCCAGTGATAAAGGCCAAGTGTGAGTTCCCTTTTCCGCCCCCTTCGTGTCCCATTTTATTCTTTCTTCCTATGTTCGTTAGAGCTCTGAAAATGTATAACATGGGTCAAGAGGATTGAAGTAATCTAATGCAGGGGCTGAAATGGACAGATGGACAGTGGTATGCCATTCCAGTAGTTCATGTGTTCAAAGGCCCAGTATTATCTGTTTCTTGAGCTTTTGGTGGATTATGGAGATGTAAAATGGCTATCCGCTGCTGTTTCAAGTCATTAAAGAGCAGCAAAACCTTCCGAGAGCTGGTGTTGTCAAGTCTTTTTACAACTTCAGCTTTTGAAATTATAAAATTCTTAAGAATTTCAGATTTTATAAAAAAAAAAAGATCTAGTCATTATGATCTTGGAGAAGATTTAGTAAACATGGAGTCCAAAAAGGTAAGAAACCAAAGAGAGATTTTAAAAAGGAGCGTGTGATATAAGGTTTTCTTAAGTTGACTTCAGAATAGTTTCTGGAGCCACGAGCCCTGAATTTTTGAACTTCTGGAGTTGAATGAATGGACCTGCTTTTCCTGTTTACCAGCTAGGGAATGGCTTAACTGCACAAATTTTTTTCTAGCTAGTTTTTGACATAGACCATGCCCAAATTTCTCCTCTGTCCTGCTTTGCATTATCACTGTGATATTTCTGAGCTAGTCTGACTTGGCATGTCAGAGCTCTCTGTTTACTCTCTTGTTCAGTACAGGTTTGATGATTCTGTCACCCTTGCAAAAAAAGCCATATTCTGATTTTCTTGCTATCTGGCCCAATGTGGTGATAGGAATGGAAGTTTTAAGCTCTCTCATTTAACTGGATTCTCAAATGGTGGCTTGTGAACAGTCTTTATAGGTCAGACAACAAACCTATCAAAAAGGTAAACGAGCAGTTTTGAGATGAAGGCAGGGGAATGATCTGTGTCTTTAGAAGAGGTTTATTTGTTTGTTTTCTCTATGGTTGACTGTAAGTGGCTGTATGGTCTGACTGTTGCTTTCTGAATGAGTGTTTTAGTAGCTCTGCTCCATGACTTCAGCCTGTACTGTAGGTATTTATAAGTAGACTATAATTTATTGTAGTTTTCAATATCTAGCAGCTGTCTGCTTTCAATGAGAAACAAGTTTGCTCCTGCCCGGTAGCAAATCTAATATCCTGAAACTGGTAAAGGATGAGAGGGCAAAGAGGTGCAGAGAACTGAAGGAATTTGCCCAAGGTCGTTCTGAAGAGCAGTAGAAACGGGCTAAGTGCCTAGGATTCTTGACCTGCAACCTAGTGCCTTTATCCTTTTACTCCTGGTGCCTTCTGCTCCTGCCAGGATATACTGCTGAGGTTTGGGAGACATTACATGAAACAGTCTGGCTCCAGGAATTGCTTTTTAGAAGTGCATCTGATCCTTGAGAGGAAGAAATGTCAGTGTTAAAAATGACACCAACTACTAACTCTGTTCTGGTGAAACAGTATCTTAAGAAATTTCAACCGCAGTGCTCAGTGATGACTAGATAATTCATCACCGCTTTATTTTGTATAGTCTTTCACACGGACTGAGTCCTTTTATGCATGCTTCAGAAAGTTAAATAACAGTTACACAGATAATGACAGCAGAGGGAGAAAGAAATTAGGAGACAAAAACCGGCAAGAAAACATAGTGTCTGAGGAGAATCAGGAAGTGATAGAAGGTTAATGAACCAAAGAGGTATGGAAGCAGGCTGTTTTATCGGAAGGGTTTGTAGAGAAGGTTTTAATCTCAACAGTAACAGATAGCAAGCATGTGGTTGAGGTACCATTTAAGGTAAACTTGAAGTAGAAAACCTCCACACTGAGATTTTTTTTTTTTTTCTTTAGTGTCTCCTCATTTTCCTAGAGAGGAGGATTTCTAATTGACAGATGGGATGTGTTTGTCATCACAGGTTCTGAGTCTACTTCTCTGCGTGGCACCTTGGAGTTTCTAGCTGGCACCATTACCTCCAACGAGTGGAGTTCTCCCACCTCCCCTGAGGGGAGCAACGACTCGGGGGGCAGTGAAGCCTTGGACAAACCCATTGACAATGATGCTGAGGGGGTGTGGAGTCCGGACATCGAGCAGAGCTTCCAGGAAGCGCTAGCCATCTACCCACCATGTGGACGGCGGAAGATTATCTTGTCAGACGAAGGCAAGATGTATGGTAAGGAGAAAGAAAGGGGGCACATCACAATGCTCCAGGCAGCCTGCCCTGTACCAAATGATGTTCTGAATGAACTCTTTTAGGTGATCCTGAGTTGATGCAGTAGGTCACTTCAAGTTGTATTTAGGAAAATCAGTGAAAATTTTAACATTCACAGATCAGAATTATAGATGTCTTTTTCAAGGGAATATCAGTTAAGGTAGATCCCAGAGCTGGGCATGCTACTGAACTAATCTTTGGATACATACCATATAATGGGTTTATTGTGTGACTTAGTCTTTTATGGTATCTCTTACTGCTGTCTCCAGCATTCTTGTTATCCTAACAAGTAAAGCTCTGGATCTCTGCTGCTAAAGGCCAGAAGTTCAGCACCTGCACCCCTGAATAGCTCTGCTGGTTGTGTGCAAACACCTACAGTTTGTTAACTAGCTACACTTTTCAGATTTCAAGAAGAGAAGAAAATCAACCTCTCTGGCTGCTCCCTTTTGTTGTAGTTTGCCTTCTTATAGCCCTGGCATGAATGTCTTTCACCTGTGGGTTCCTCTCAGCTAACTAGCTAGATACCTAGCCCTGAATGCAGGGAAACGCTGGCTTGCAGCTGCAGCAGGAGTCAACTTTTTAGGTGGTAGACATTATTTTTAATTGGATTTTTGACCTATACCACAGTTCAAATCTCTGTCTTGATTTTGCCCACAAAAGAGCTGGTCTGGGCTGGATTCTCTAGCTCGCTATTGGAAGAAGCCACCTGGTACTTCTGTGTCTAAAAAGCAAAGCAAAGGCTGAGACTGCACAATATTTGGTTGAAAGTTCCAAGGTGTTAAAACCATTTCTCAGAACACCACGAAGGACCTTATGGAAGGCAGTCCTCTTCCTACCCAGTCAATACTTTCTTTTTTTTCTTTTAAATTGGAATCTGTGTGTCTTTGCAGGCCCCATTATGGGAGCACCATGCCCTGAAGCTTCATGTGGAGCAGTTCACAAGTCATTCTGCAGATTTCTGTCCACCCATCAGGCCATTGTTCCCTGAGCTAGGGAATAGATTGCTCTCACTGTGGGGACATGGGTGGGGTCTTGTTTACACAGCCTTATCTACAATGGATGTTTTTACTGGGTACTACATCATTGTATCTGTTCAAAGGTATGTATGTTAAGTAAGGCTGATCACCTTGAGCAAGTGTAAGTATTCTGATGTAGACATCAATTCCTGCTCTGTGGTGGCAAAAACTTTTCTGTGGTTGTGCAATAGAACTGACTACGGAACTGATCCAGCTAAAACTAACACAGGCAGAAAGGGGGGAAAAAGGGAACTTTAATCTGGATATGTCCCCTGCTTTGTTTCACTGCCCAGCTGCACAGCTCCTTGTGCTGGTACTTAGAGAGTGGGAATGAACAGTCACAGTTGAGGTTAGGGTAGGACTGCCTCTTTCAGAAGTGATACTTGGTTAAAATGTTATTCAAACTAAAATATTACTTGAAAATCCATCCCATGGATTAAACATAGATTGGTGACATGCTCCTTGCTGCTCTAAGTCTGCTCTAGTTTTCATGACAGGTGACTTTTAAAAATAGTAGTGAAAAATTACAGTTGTGTTTTAAGACTGTCTTCATTTACTAATCATTCTGCACAGTCCCTGAAATACTTCAGCTTTGGAGTAAATGTGTTGGAGCAATGAGTGAAATGGACCAGAAAAGAAATTAGAGTGAGACAAAAGTAAAAGTAAAGTAGAATGGCCTACAAAAACCAAGGAGACTTAGCCCTAGCGTAGACTGGTGTTTAGTGGATAGTATAGTTAATTGCTGGTGAGGTGCAGAAGGTAAATAACCCACTTGCAGAGTGGAAAGTTTAGGCTAGCCTCTGGGAGAAGAAATTAACAGATTTTCTGCAAGCCCTCCCCCACTACTCCAAATGGGACAGTGTCCCTGCTTGCCTTCAGTGCACCTGTTCCCAGTGCGGACAGTTAGTTCAATGTGCGCCTGACAGAACCTGAGGCACTGATTTATGCCCTCCTTTACTTACTAGTCTCCACAATCTACGCCAAGGAAGTGGGATCTAGCCTGGAATCCACAGAAAGATGTGACTGGGCAGGGAAAATAAATATAGTCCCTGATTTCATCTTCACGGTTATGAGCCAGCTCATGGAACAGGACAAGCTGTATGTGGACCTGGCCCTGTCTCCAAGGGACAGTTGTTTAGCTGTCCCATGACTGACTTGCACAGAGCTCATTGAACCGAGGGGCAGGGTGTTACAGAGAACTGTATATGCCCCTTTTCTTTGACAAAAGCGGCACCATTTCACTGTTTCCCACCGAGGAGTGGTTTTTGTGGTACTACTCTTTTGGCGTGATGTTCCACGTCCCAGGATCTCTTTTACATGCAATTTATGTGCTTCTCACCTGTTGTGAGGCAACCTGTTCCCAGTTTAAAGTAGCTTTTAACAGCATAATACATGTTGAACAAGCTAAAGTGCGTCAAGCCGATATGAAGAACTTGCGCTATTTTGTTTGAGTACATCAAAAATTGCACAGAAACCTATTCACAGACCTCAAGTTCATGTTCCCTAGCCTCTGCAGAGCTGTCTTGCTGCTTACAGCTCTTTAGATGACACAACTGATTGCTCAGTGGACCTGATTCCTACTTCACCCAAAAGTCAGCCAAGCTCTTTCCTGTACGTTGGTGATCTGTGTCGTGATGCCTTTGCTGCCTTCCTTTCTTTCGTTATATTTTTCCCTCCTAGACATATTCCATTACTAGAGGCAGCATCCTGACTGGATAAGCTCGTTCCACAGTACTGTTCCGGGTACAAGCCCTCACTGTTCTCTCCAGCGGTCTCTGCTTGCCACCTGTTTAAGGCATGAAAAGCTGTTTTGTCTGATATGGGATGCTATCTTTCCTCCCAGTCACAGCATTGACAGAAGCAGCGAGTCTGGGTCACCGTTAACTTACTGATCTGGTGCCTTCTGGTACCACTAAGGTCCTGCAGGATAATTTTATGAATGTTGCCTGCTAGAATACCATGGGGGTACAGTTTTACAGATATGGCTCTTACATTTTCCAACTATGTTTTTCCACGGGAGAAATAATCTGTAGCATTTGTACCAAATAAGCAATCAGAACTCAATGTCAGAGTCAGTATCTCCTGGCACCTTCAGTACTAGTCCAGAGAAAGGAAAGGGAAAAAGCTTAGTACCTTTGAATGGAGATGCTAAATAGAGAGGGTCTCCCAACACTACTGAGGACAAAGAAATAAAAAGTAGTAACTAGGAAAGTTATATTTATTTTGACAAAACACTGCTGGGGTCTTGATTTACAAGTGAGGGAGTAAGAGCTTGGAAGAACTGCGCTACTGCGTTAGCTGTCCAGTGCTCACTTCCACTGCTCAAACATCTGGCTTGGAGCACCTTTTTGTAAGAGGAGCTAACACTGGTGGCTGTTGGTTAGATTGCTGTTCTGTAGGAGGCAGTAGTTTAGCAGCTGGTTTACAAACAGCTCAGATGTATTTGTGCTGAGCAGTGTGGGGCAGACAGCTGCGGGCTTGATGTCCAGAGCTCAGAGGCTGAGTGATAGAAGAAGGATAGTTAACGGTGTTACTAGTTAAAACCTGTAGCAGGCTGTGAACTGCAGAGACTTGGGCTTGCAACATGAATTAAGCTGGCATAAAAGGTCAGTCTGATGCTGAAAACTACCATGTCACAGGTGGTCCCTCCCACCCCTGTTCTGAAGTGACTAGGTAAATTTGCAGAATATTGCCTCAATCTCAAAGGGATATGTTATTAGTTAATGATTTCCCTGACCTCAAAAAGTCACTAAAACAGGAAAACAAACCAACCCGAAGAAGCACAAAACATACACTGCCTCAGTTCATCAACACTACTTCTCCTTGAGGGGAGGGAGGAGCATGGCAGCTATTACAAATCTGAAAGCCTTCAAGGTGTCAGTCTTCAAATGCTTTCTTCTATGTCTAGTTTAGCATCTTGCCTAATGGTGTTTCAGTCAAAGCAGTTGAAACATGCTGAGAATGTGCTCAGTTTACACTGAACTGGCTGGCCCTGGTAATTGCAAAATTTGGATTTGAGCTGTGAATATCCCTCAGAGAGATCCTTCTGCAGTTCCTGTCCATTCCATTATTGTGACGTAGTGAACTGCAGAACAGCCCTTTATGTCACAGTTTTGCTAACAAAATTGAATTTCCCATTTTAAACACTAGGAGACAAACTTAGATTCACGGACAATCGGTACAGGTGCAGACTGTTCCCTCTTGTCCTCTTTTTCTGATGGCACGTATTGCTCAATAACAATGTTGTGTTTCACTGAGTCAGCATTCAGCTTTGCTTTTGTGTGGTTCTAGTTCTTTGTTGACTAGATGAAGCCAGATTTCTGGGACCTTTGCAACAGGTTAAACTTCTGCTGGAGTTTGTCAAGTTTTTCCTTCCATCTCCTTCTTCATGTTAAACAGTATGTCACTTTAACTGGTGTTTTCTCCATGCAAACATAAAAAGAAATATTTTTCCATGAGTTCCAAGCATTTCCTGAACATTGAGGAATTTATCACTTTTGAAATGCCACACAACCAGGAAACTGCTTGCTGTTGCAGTTAAGAGTTAATAGTACGGGCTGTGGCATCGTTCCTTAACATGCTTAGTACTGAACAGAAATATTTTATCAGTTTTATTGTGTATTACATGTTACCAAAACTAATGTGACTGCTTTTTTGGGGGGCTTTTTTTTGTTGTTTCAACAGAGGGCACATTACCTTTTCCTGTCCCTTTTGATTTTTAGCAGCTTTGTAGTCCCATTTTTATCTGTCAGGCTTAAAACCAAGTGTGTTGTGTAGGATTGTTTTTCTCACTGTATATGTCTGCAGCCACAGAGCTTTTGTCATCAGGTCGTTCATTAGCAACATTGCTTTACCCTTTTGGCTCTTCCTCTGACTTTTTCATTTCTAAATTTCAAACGTTTAGTAATTCTCCAAGTTAGAGTTGTTCTGTAGTGTTATATTGTC